TTAGCGCCATCGCCACGGTGCTGCAAGCAGCGCCGGGCGACGACGGCTTACCGCCTCCCTGCCCCCCCCTCCAGGTGCAAGAGACGCGCGACGCTTCGCGGGGCCCATATCTCCCCATATCTCCCCATATCTCCCCATATCTCCCCCGCAAGGTGCAAGAGACGCGCGACGCTTCGCGGGGCCCATATCTCCCCATATCTCCCCATATCTCCCCATATCTCCCCCGCAAGGTGCAAGAGACGCGCGACGCTTCGCGGGGCCCATATCTCCCCATATCTCCCCATATCTCCCCCTATCTCCCCCGCAAGGTGCAAGAGACGCGCGACGCTTCGCGGGGCCTCTCCTTCGAGCTCCTCAACGCGCGCGAGGAGGCGGAGAGCTTGCGCAAGCAGATCGCCCCCGACCCGCGCGCGCTCAAGGACGAGCTGCAGGCGCTGCACGCGCGCCTTCCCTCTCAGGCGGAGTCTCAAGGAGCCAGTCTTCATTACTCAGTGACGAGCTCTGCAGGCGCTGCATGACGCCGTCGCCCTCGAGAAGGCGGCGCTCGAGTCTCTAATGAATTCACACTTCGGAGTCATTATGAATTGTTTAATTGCCCTCGAGAAGGCGGCGCTCAAGTCGCTCGAAGGCAAGTGCTCCGACGCCGCGAAGGGTGCCGCCGCCGCCCCCGCTCCACCGCCACCGCCCTCACTGCCGCCGCCGCCCTCGCCGCCGCCACCGCCGCCGCCCTCGCCGCCACCGCCGCCACCGCCGCCCTCGCCGCCACCGCCGCCACCGCCGCCACCGCCACCGCCGCCACCGCCGCCACCGCTGCCCAGTCCTCCCGACGCGGCAGCGGGCGGTGAGCGGCGGCTGCTCACAGGCTCGGAGACGGCGTGCATTAGGCGCCGCCGCCATCGAGGCTGCGGAGGGGCAGCTGGACGAGCTTGCGCGGCTGCAGGCGGAGGCGGAGGCGGAGGCGCACCGGCTCAAGGAGACGCGGCGCGGCATCAAGGCGGTGGCGGGGTCGACTCTCGGCCTCGAGACGGAGCGGGCGGAGCTGGCGCACCAGGTTCCGCATCTCTATGCTGCATCTCGATCTCGCACCATCTCGATCTCGCACCATCTCGACCTCGCACCATCTCGACCTCGCACCATCTCGACCTCGCACCATCTCGATCTCGCACCATCTCGACCTACTCTCGCACCATCTCGACCTCGCACCATCTCGACCTCGCACCATCTCGATCTCGCACCATCTCGATCTCGCACCATCTCGCGTCCGCAGGTGCGCGCCGTCACGCAGCGGATCGGCCACTGCAAGGAGCGCCTCGAGCGGCAGAAGGAGCAGCACGCGGCCAAGGAGGAGGACGCACGCGCCGCCCTCTCCCTCGCCGAGCGGCAGTGGGGCGAGCTGTCCGAGGAGAGGGAGAGGCACGAGCGGCAGCAGGCGCGAGATGCAGCCGAGAGGCAGCCGGGAGGCAGCAGAGAGGCAGCAGAGAGGCAGCAGGGAGACAGCAGGGAGACAGCCGAGATACAGCCGAGATACAGCCGAGATACAGCCGAGATACAGCGGAGGTGCGGCGCCTCTTCACGGCGCCCCGGTGTGAACAGGACGACTCGGAGCTCGCGCTGCGCGAGCTTCGCGACAAGCACCTCTACGCGCGCATGGAGCACGAGGCAGTGGCGGCTGTGAACGGCGTCTCTTCACACCCACTGCTGTGAACAGGCGCGCATGGAGCACGAGGCAGTGGCGGCTGTGAACGGCGTCTCTTCACACCCACTGCTGTGAACAGGCGCCCATGGAGCACGAGGCAGTGGCGGCTGTGAGCGGCGTCTCTTCACACCCACTGCTGTGAACAGGCGCCCATGGAGCACGAGGCAGTGGCGGCTGTGAACGGCGTCTCTTCACACCCACTGCTGTGAACAGGCGCGCATGGAGCACGAGGCAGTGGCGGCTGTGAACGGCGTCTCTTCACACCCACTGCTGTGAACAGGCGCCCATGGAGCACAAGGCAGTGGCGGCTGTGAGCGGCGTCTCTTCACACCCACTGCTGTGAACAGGCGCGCATGGAGCACGAGGCGGTGGCGGCGCGGCTGCAGCAGCTGCAGCAAAAGCTGTCGCTCCAGGCGAGTTCACTCCCCACCAGACGGCCCGCTATCTCGGCTGCATCTCGGCTGCACCTCGGCTGCATCTCGGCTGCATCTCGGCTGCATCTCGGCTGCATCTCGGCTGCACCTCGGCTGCACCTCGGCTGCACCTCGGCTGCCTCTCGGCTGCCTCTCGGCTGCACCTCGGCTGCATCTCGACTGCACCTCGGCTGCACCTCGGCTGCACCTCGGCTGCACCTCGGCTGCACCTCGACTGCACCTCGGCTGCACCTCGGCTGCCTCTCGGCTGCACCTCGGCTGCATCTCGGCTGCACCTCGGCTGCACCTCGGCTGCATCTCGACTGCACCTCGACTGCACCTCGGCTGCATCTCGGCTGCACTTTGGCTGCACTTCGGCTGCACCTCGGCTGCACCTCGGCTGCCTCTCGGCTGCACCTCGGCTGCATCTCGGCTGCATCTCGGCTGCACCTCGGCTGCATCTCGGCTGCACTTCGGCTGCACTTTGGCTGCACTTCGGCTGCATTTCGGCTGCATCTCGGCTGCACCTCGACTGCACTTTGGCTGCACCTCGGCTGCACCTCGGCTGCACCTCGGCTGCACCTCGGCTGCCTCTCTGCTGCATCTCGGCTGCACTTCGGCTGCACCTCGCCTGCACCTCGCCTGCACCTCGGCTGCGCCTCGGCTGCACCTCGGCTGCGCCTCGGCTGCACCTCGGCTGCACCTCGGCTGCACCTCGGCTGCATCTCGACTGCATCTCCCCGCCAGGTGCGCGCCTACCACCAGACGGTCCTGTCGGCGATGGGGTGCGGCTCCGGAGGGCAACGAGGGGCCACCTGTAGCATAGAGAATCCAACGGCGGGTCGACGATGAGTAATAGGTCGGCCTCGGAGAGCACGCAGGGGCTGGCGGCGCAGGGCGTGGCGTGCTGAGGAGAACCGGGGGACCGGGGAGGGCGGGGGGGAGGGGGGGGGCGATTGCCGGCTTTGTGTCGCCGGCTCTGGTCTAGAGAGCGCGGCCGCGAGCAGAGCCGGACGCGCTGCAAGCAGAGACCGGCACCGGTGCCTGGCGCTGTTGTGGTGCCCGATGCGCCACGCCAGGCTGGGTGGGGACGGCGCCACGGGGGAGAACGGGCTGCGTGCGGCGCCGCGAAGGGGTCTCTGGTGCTTTCATGTTTGTCTGGGGAGGGTATGTGTACAGCCGCTATGTCCATGTGGCGCGCGCGCGCGCGGGGGCGAAGACGCGATGGCGATGCGAAGGGCCGTCCGCACGCCAAAATACCCTTGTCTATTGATAGCGGGTGATACGATAGAAACAATGAAAATAAGAGGGCTCCCGCGGCGATCAACACCGCAACTCCTTTTCTAAAGCCGGCTACGCGCACAGACACAGTACGCGGCAGCGCCGACACGTCAACCCGCGTGTACGTCAGCGACGGGTCGCGCACGCCGCACGAGGCGCATGCGTGCAGCGGCAGCGCGTGCGCCATGCGCTCGTCGCTCCACTCGCCCAGCAGCCGCCGCTTCGTCTCGTCGGAGACGTGCACGCAGCGCTGCAGCAGCGCCGCCGTCTCGTCCTCGGGCCGCTCCAGGTCCATGACGACGTTCGTCGAGGCGTGGAAGCGCGTCTCCAGGTCGATGGCCGCCTGCTCGGCCGCGGCGAGCTTGCCCTGGTCGACGCACATGCCGCACACCGCGTGCGCCGGGCAGCCGCACTGGCCGCGTTGTGGGCGCACGGTCTTGGCGACCGCCGGCGCTGCGCGCCGGTCGTGCTGCTCACGCTGCCGGCGGCGCTGGTCGCGCGCCTGCCGATCGCGCGTGTTCGCGGCGGCTGCATCTCCTGCTCGTTTCGCTCGCACCCGAGCGGCGGTCGCCAGGCGCTTCAGGTCGGCGGTGCTGCGTACGATTGGCTGAGAATCAGAGATGCTGTGAACAGGCGCGGTGGCGGTGACCGCCCCACCGTTCGCGGCGAACGGCAGCGGTACGATCGCCGCGCCCCTTTGTGGGCCACCGGCGGTGGTGAGGCGAATCATACAAGAACCGCGCCGTGTGAATAGGCGCCATCGCGCCGCCCTTTGTGGAGGCGGCGCGCTTGTGGGGCCAGCGCGTCGCCGCCGCCGCCGCCGAGCGTGTTCGACAGCGGGGACCGGCGGCGGGCGCGGGGGGCAGTGGGGGAGAGGGCGGCGGTGAGACCACGAGGAGCGTGCGGTTGCAGCCGGGGGCGTCGTGAGATTGCGCAGATCGGCGTTTCGGGCACATCGGGGGTCGTGGCTTGTGGAGGCTGTGGGGCGTTGTGGTTTTGCGTTTTTGGTGTCGGGGGTGTGCGCGGAGTTCCGACCGGGTGCGTCGGACGGGGCGGCGGACGGGCCGACCCAGTCCGCAGTCGCCAGTGTATTGTCAATTGTGACTGTGCCCAGGCAAGAACAAGATTTTAATTGCGGGAGACGTGACGTGAACGCTCTAGAGTTTTACAAACTGCTGCACGTTTCGTCGTTTCCTCTCACAAGCAGCTGTGCCTATGACGTATGAGCGCTCAGGGCCTCCCTCACGCCTCAGCCGCATCCGCAGCCATCCTAGCTGCGGCCGCCTTGGCCCGCGCAGCGGCCACGGCAGTAAGCCTCGCCTCGGTTGCGGCGACCGCCTGCTCGAGCGCCGTCTCGCCCTCGGCAACAGCCGCCTTGGCCTCCTCCAACGCTGCTCTGAGCCTCTCCAGCGCTGCCTCCGCCGCCGCCTGCACCGCCGCTGCCTCTGCCGCGGCCTCCTCCTCCGCCTCGACTTCATCCTCCGCCTCGTCCGCCTCAGCGTCCAAGCGTACCGCCTCGGCTACCTCAGCCGATGCCGCTGCCTGGCTTTCCGGAGTGATGTTGAACCGGATCCGCTCCTCGTGACACTTCTCGAGAAGCCTGATCATTCTCTCCTCCTCGGCCTTCTTTGCGGCCTCGGCTGCAGCTGCCTCCGACGGCGCCTTGGTGCCCTCCACCGGCGTCTCGGTGCCCTCCCCCGGCACCTCGGGCGCCTGCGACGGCCCAGCCGCGCCCGCTCCTCCGCCCTTCTTCTTCTTCTTCTTGCCCTTCTTGCCCTTGGCGCGCTTCTCCTCCTCGATCTCCGCCAGCAGCTCGTCAGCATTCCGCGCCGCCTCCGCCTCCGCCTCCGCCGCCGCCCTCTCTGCCGCCCTCGACGCCTCCGCCTCCCTCGCCGCCGCCTCAATTGCGAGCGCGCACTCGGCGTGGCCCTGCTCTTTGGCGATATGCAGCGCCGTACAGCCGTCCGCATTGCGCCTCGTTGAGTCAGCGCCCGCCTGCAGCAAGCAGCGCACAACGGCAGGGCGGTCCTTATGGCACGCAGAGTGCAGCGGCGTAACGCCGTTAGCCGTCGCTTGGTTGACCGCCGCGCGCGCGTTGACGAGCAGCTGGGCGATCTCGAACTGATCGCACGCGATGTTAAGCGGCGTGCAGCCATCGTGGTGCCTGGCTTGGTTGATCGCCGCGCTGGCCTTGAGGAGCAGTCGAGCAATATCGAGGTGGCCCTTCTGGCATGCGATGAACAGCGGTGTGGCGCCATTCCGCGTGGCTTGGTTCGCCGCCGCGTCAGCCCCGAGAAGCAGCCGGGCGCACTCGAGCTGGCTCTCCTGACACGCCACAAACAGCGGCGTGGCGCCTCTGGCGTTGGCTTGGTTGATCACCGCGCTGGTCTCGAGGAGCAGCCGAACGATACTGACGTAGCCCTTCTGGCACGCGATGTACAGCGGCGTGGCGCCGTCCTCTACGGCTTGGTCGACGCAAGCTGTGGCCTCGAGGAGTAGCCGGACGCACTCGAGCTGGCCGTTCTGGCACGCGATGTACAGCGGCGTGACGCCGTCCTGCTTGGCTTGGTTGACCGCCGCGCTGGCCTCGAGGAGTAGCCGGACGCACTCGAGCTGGCCCTCCTGGCACGCGACTAACAGCGGCGTGGCGCCGGTGTCCTTGGCTTGGTTGACCGCCGCGCCAGCCTCAAGAAGCAGCTGGGCGACCTCGACGTGGCCGTCCCAGCATGCGGCCAACAGCGGAGTGGCGCCATTCATGGCGCCGTTGTCGATTGCTTGGCTTACCGCTGCGCCGGCCTCGAGGAGTAGCCGAACGCACTCGAGCTGGCCCTTCTCGCACGCGATGTACAGCGGCGTGGCGCCGGTGTCATTGGCTTGGTTGATCGCCGCGCCAGCCTCAAGAAGCAGCTGAGCGACCTCGAGGCGGTTGTTCTGGCACGCAATGAACAGCGGCGAGAAGCCTCCAACCTCCGCTTGGTTGACCGCCGCGCTGGCCTCGAGCAGCAGCCGGGCGCTTTCGAGCTGGCCCTCCTGGCACGCGATGTACAGCGGCGTGGCGCCGTTGTCGTTTGCTTGGCTTACCGCTGCGCCGGCCTCGAGGAGTAGCCGGACGCACTCGAGCTGGCCCTTCTCGCACGCGATGTACAGCGGCGTGGCGCCGGTGTCCTTGGCTTGGTTGATCGCCGCGCCAGCCTCAAGAAGCAGCTGAGCGACCTCGACGTGACCGTGAAAGCACGCGGCCAACAGCGGAGTGAACCCGCCATCAACGGCGTGGTTGACCGCCGCGTCAGCGTCGAGGAGCAACCGGACGATATCGATGCGGCCACCATCCTCCTCCTCCTCCTTCTTCTTCTTACTCGCGCACGCGGTATACAGCGGCGTCAAGCCGCCACCGACGGCCTGGTTGACATCGGCGCCGGCACCACACAACAGCCGGACGATCTCGAGGTAGACAAGCTTACACGCGATGACCAGCGCGGACCAGCCGCTGCCGTTAGTCGCCCTGACGCTCGCGCCGTGGTCGAGCAGCAACCGCACTGCGTCAGCATGCTTGTTGCGAGCGGCGCAGGTCAGCAGAGTGTCCTGCCACACGTATGGCTGCCGCGCATCGAGCTGGGCTGTGAGTGCAGCGCCGCGCGCCAGGCGGGCGAGGAGAGCGTGCAGCGCCCTCAGATCGCCATGGCATATGCCGTCCGCGGCCAAATCGGTCAGCACGAGTCGTGTTGGGCTGCCCGCGGCCAGCTCGACCAGCACGCTGCCCGCGCTCATGTCATTCCCCGCCTCGAGGAGCTGGCGGAGCAGCGCGAGGTTGTGCCCCTTGATGGCGCGGTGCAGCTTGTTCGAGCCGCTCCCGAGCAGCGCCTGAAGCTCCTCCGCACAGTCCGCATCCTCCTTGATCATGTCGACCGGGAGCTTGCCGTTGCTCGCCCGCGTCCGCTTGTTGGCGCCCGCCTCAATCAGCAGCCTCGCAACCTCGATTCTGCCGCTGTCGGCGGCGTAGTGCAGCGGCGTCACGCCGTACCGGTTGGTCGAGCTCACCAGTGCGCCCGCCTTGAGCAGCCGCTTCACGACCTCGACATGTCCGTGGATCGAGGCGACGTGCAGCCCGGTCTGGCCGATGCCATTGGCATAGTCGGGCGAGGCACCGCGCAGCGCGCTGTCGAGCTGCTCGAGGTCGTTCTGCGCAGAGGCGCGGAGCAGCTTTTGACCGATGGCGGCGACGTCAGTCATGACAGAGGCGCCCTGTCTCTGGGCCTATCTCTAGCAGAGAATTTTAGAAAATTTCAGCACAAAAGGCTCTCTCACACGCACGATTCACATAAACGCACAACTCCGGACCCAAGACGCACAAGCACAGACGCACGATTCACACGACAGACAATTTTAGAACCAGAAAAAAGCTGAGCATAAAAGAAAAAAAAACCGGGACCAGGATTCCAGAAATGGTTGTGTCCCCTCTCGCGTTGCTCGCTCGCCCGGGCGGAGGGCATGGCCGCGGAGGAGGCGAGTACGCGCTGCCAGGCCTTCCACAGACAGCCTCTTGGGCAGGCTGAGGGTCGGCTTTGCGTGGCGTAGCCCGTGCGCTGCGCTGCGCAAAGCTGCGTGTGCTGAAGGTGCATCTGGTGCTTCCTTTCGGAAGTGCGCACCTCCTGCAGCTGGTGGAAGGCCGTGCCGCCGCTCGCCTGCTCCGTGGACAGGGCGGGGAGGCGGCGCCGCAGCACCGCAGCATCCGCTGCACGCCGGTGCAGCACTCTGCTGCCTGGTGGGCAGCATGCTGGTGCTGTGCGCGGTGTTTGCGAGGCGGCTTTGGCGCTGTACTGCCAGCCGAGGCGAGTGGCGCGAGGCACGCGCGGCGCCGCGCGTGGCCCGGACGGAGCCAGAGAACGCGCTCGATGAGCCAGCCGGCGCGGCGCGAGCGCCGTGCAAGCTGGCACATCGTCTGCATGCTGCCGTCAATTCTCTGGTCGACGGCGGTCAATCTCACGATTGTCGATCAAAACCGGCGGGCTTTGTGACGCCGTTTACGCAATCGTTTTTTGGCTTCGCTTTCTCTTTTGCTTGTTTTTATTTCGTTTTTTCTTTTACGAAGCGACGGAGGCGGGGCGGGCGGGCGCTAACTACGGGCAACTACATGTCGAAGGTTCGAGGTCGACTACTCGCCGCCTGGGTCGTTTGGGGCGCGCGGCTCCGTCGAGGACCGGGCGCGCCCCTTTCCCGGCGCGGCGTAGGTCCCACTCTGACGTATAGAGGGGAGGCGCGGACAACGGCCCAATTCATCAATTCCACTCATCTTCTGGTGCCTAGCCCCGTGCAGCGGCGGTCCGGCAGGCTGCCCCCAAGCGCCAAGGCCCCCTGGGCCGCTGCGGGTTTTGGAGTTATGCTTAGGCACAGCTTCGGCGATGGCAGCCCCTCTCTGGGGTGTTGCATAGGCGGGGAGTCTCCCCCGCTGGTCTCCTCATTGCCTTTTTTCTTTTTCTTTTGAGCTGGGTGTGCCGCCGCGCGGCGCTCGCGCGGCGGCGGCGGCGGCGTGTGTGTGGGTGGTGGTGGTGGTGGTGGGTGGGTGGGTGGGTGGGGGGGGGGGGGGGGCTCGGGGGCGTGCGGGGCAGAGGCTCGACGATCATCGGCTCGCCGAGGGGGGAACGAGGAGGGGGGAATGGGCGGTCGGCGATGGGGTATGATGCAACAGGGCGTACGGGGTAGTCGTCACTTTCCTGCCTCACAAGGGCGGGGCTGTCCCGGAAAGTGAGAAACGCCGGGCAGCGTGACGCATCAACGAAACCTCCCATACGTGTTTGGGCTCCTCCTTCGCTGTCCCATCTCCTCATCTCTTTCCCGCCTGGGCGGGGCGGTGGTCGGGGGGGCGGCGGGCGCGGGTGCGAGGTGCGGTGCGGTGCGTGCAATCGTGTGTTTGGCGTCATGTCGTGTGTGCCTTCGCTTGTTCCTATTAACAACGAAGTCTAGCTCAAAAGAAAATAGAAAGAGTAGTACAAGCTGAGAATTTTACAACAAAACTCCCTCGCACAACACTGGGCACGGGACTGGCGCGCACTGGCACTAACACAGCTGAGAAACAAAGAAGAAAGGCGGTCTCCCTTCTCACTCTCTCGTGTCCGCGCCGAAGAACGTCCCACCTGAACACCGCCCGCCGACGATCGATCAGTCCACAATCGTCGGCCCGCACCCCGCAGCGACCCGCAGCGATGGATGCCGCCCCCCACGGCCCCTACGGGCTACGGCCGACGCGCCGATGCACGACCGGCCTCCGTCGGACGGCTCTCCGGCCTCTCCGGCCGCTGCCGCCCGCGCTGCTGCCGATCCGGTCCCCTTCACGCTCCGCACAAGCAACGACAACTTTGAGGTCGCCGGCTTTGGCCAGGTGCCACCCACCACCTGCTTGCCTCCATGTTCACGCTTGCTGCTCTTGTTGCTCTTGTTCCTCGTGCTGTTCCTGTTCTGATTGCGAGGCGTGGTTCTAAAAAAAAAGGAAGGGGATAGGGGGTGGCCACGGGTGGGGGGGGTGGGGTGTGTGGGTGTGTGGGTGTGTGGGGGGGATTGATGTCCTGAGAGATGTGCTTCGAGGACCGAGCGAGCAGATTACAGAAGGAAGAGTGCAACGGCATCGAGCCAGCCAGTAAAAATACTCGAAAAAGAATTTTAGAAAAAGAAAAGTCCTCACTTTTGAAAAACAAATCGCGCGAAAGGCGGCGGAGTGCCCGCCGGCTCGGCCGCAGAACCACCGCCGCCTTTCGGTTTGCCATGGCGGACGTGGCGAAGCTGAAGGGCGCACAGGATTACGCCGGTACATGGACGGAGAAGAAGAAGGACGGGACCAAAGGCGGGCAGACGCTCAACATCAACCAGGTGGGCCCCTGCATGTTCATGACACACAGCTGCGACGGTTGTCCGACTGGCGTCGCGTGCGCCTACCCACTCGGCGGGGGTTTGTTCTGCTCGGAACCGTTCGCTCTTTATTGTGGCCCGATGTGCATGTGCCCGAACCCCGATGGCACTTTTTCGGACGGTTGCGGGACTACGTATGCGAAGTATGAAGCCCAGGGCCAGGCCCAGGGGGCTCCAATGGGCAGCGCGGAGATGGAACGCTGATCAAGAATGTGAAGCTGCCGACTTGGGAGAAAGTCGCCGACGCGGATGCCCCTAGCTGCCCCGCCCTCCATCGAGATGCAGCGCTGAGCAGGCCGGCCGGGGCTTCGCTGGGCACCGCGGGAGTTTGCAGCCCGATTGCGGGTTGCGCGCCGACCTCTCTACCGCACGGTGTACTTATTTAGGCTAAACAACAGTTGGCGGTTTGCTCTAGGGCTCTGACGGGTAAGTCCCTTATACGGCAAAACTTGCGCTTTTTGCGGCTCTCTCTCATCACTCACAATGCTCAATCAGAGTAGTCGATTACCAATTACGGCTTCGTATACGCGTTGCCCGCGTTCGCTCTTGTGATCCTCTCTCGTCTCTCTCTCGCCGTGCGCGCGGAGTGTCGTCTGTCGAACACATTACTTTACGAGTGTTACGTAGTCGTGGGTAGAAGCGTAGGCTGGACGAGCACTACAGGCTCTCTCCCCAGACACCAGACTCAGTACGGGCAAAGCCCAAACGTATAACCGGGCGATTGCTCATTGGCATGCTCGGGGGTGGAGAAGCGGTCGACAGGCACCGCGGCGTGGCAAGCCGTGGCGAAGCCGTGGGGCATGCCCGCTGGCGGCTGGCCCACAATCTGCACCGCCACCGGCACCGCCAAAACCGGCACCGCCGCCGCCCTCCCTGCGGCAGCCCGACGTGCCACACCGCTCGCCTGTAGAGCGGGAGCGCCGCGGCTCGCGAGAGCGGCGCGATCCCCGTCACACGTCGTCGTGGCCGCCTGTGTCAACCGATCGCCGCCAGGGGCGCAGTCAGGGTGCGGACACGGTCTCGCGCCGTGTGTTGGGAGCGAGGGCCACGAGGAGTGGAATGCAGCAAGGTGCCATGCGTCTCCTCTCGAGAGCTGGTCAGAGCGCACGGGTCTGTCCCCACCCTCTAATGCGCATCCGCCTTTGCTGCGCGCGGCGGACAAGCCAAGGCGCGCGCGGCGGCCGCACGTTCCACCTCGCTCACGCCCGCAGCAACCCCGCCCTCCGCCAGCGCCTCGAGCGACCCTCGCAGCGAAGCCATCGCGCGAGCACCGCCGTCACCGCCGCCGCCGCCGCCACGGCCGCCGCCGCCGCCGCCGCCGCCCCCGCCCCCACCGCAGCCGCCGTCGCCGCCGTCACCGCGGCTGCCGCTACCGCCGCCTCCGCTACCGCCGCCACTACCGCGACCGCCGCCGCCGCTGCCGGCGGAGAGGACGCGCCCAATCACCAGCAGCACCGCGGCGCGGGCCGCCGCCGACGGCGCTGCCGCCGCCGGCGGCGGTGCTTCTTGCCCGCGTGGCCAGGGCAGGCATGCGAGGGGTGCGAGGCGGGAGAGCGCGTCGTGGCGCG